GCCCCCCCGGGAGGGGCAGCTGAACGCCGGGCAGAGCCCCGGGTGGGGGGCCCGCCTCCCGCCACCGCCTCGCTCGGCCTCCATGAACTTTTTGAATAGTCTCCTAACCTATTCCTCCTGTCCAAATCACTCTGCAGAAAGCAGCTGAGAGACATCAAGGACAGGCGACCTAAGGCATGTGGACTGGGAGGGGATGGAGGGAGGAGGGTCAGAATCTTAAGTGGTGTTTCAGAGACCAGTACCAGGTGCTGTGGGTACTGTAGCATGTCCATAAGTACCTTGACCCTTTTCTCATTGTTGGTGTCTCATAAAACCTAAAATATTTACTCTATAGCCTGAGAGAGAAAAGGTGGGCCACCTCTGCACTAGATCTGAAGATGACCACGTGGTAGGGCACATTGCCTACATGTTGCCAAGACCCCCACCCTCAACAAGCCAAGGGGGCAAGCAGGGATATTGGTGCATTATTGCTGGTAGGGTCAAGTGCCCCGTCCTCCTGCAGTGACCTTGCTAATGAAGTTGTGGGTGGCTGGAGAGCTGAGTGGAGAGGAAGTGATTTCAGCTGCTGAGGTAGGCAATGATTTCATGCCCTTGGAGACAGCCACCATTCTGGCACCCCAAAGCCCCTGAAGGTGCAGGTGGACTACCAAGCTCTGTCCCCTAGGACCAGCACCACAGCCAGGGAGTACACATGCTATCCCTGAGTGGAGTGGTGGCTGGCGATCTTTCAGATCTGCCACATCCTAGTGAACTCTACCATGCCTAAACAGTAAAAGCTCAAACCTGCAAACACAAGAACTGGGAGGCTGCGCACCAGCCAGTCTGCCGAAGTTTCTCAGAGAGCAAACAATTCCCATGATTGGTTCCCTTAAAAAAACCTGACCTTTGGGAACCAGCAGTTAGCGTAATGGCTATGTCGCTGGACTCCCACGTAGTTGACCGCGGTTCGTGTCCTGGACCCAGTGGCTTGAAACTCACGCCGGGCACGTGTGCGTGCGTGCCCCAGATCCCGAGAGGAGAATGGAGGAGAAGGGATTGCGGCGTGACCATCCCCCCTGGGGGGGGATTTCTCGCTTTCTGTCTCTATGTCTCTCTCTGTCTGTCTGGGGAGCGCACGCGCCCTACATGGAAAATCTCTTCCCCCAAAAAAACACCTGACCTTTGAAACCTTGCTCTGATTGGCCACTAGAATCCCTCAGATTTGCATATCCAGCACCTCATGATTGGTCCAAAAGCAACCAATCATAACCCACCGTTTACAACCAATCATGGCCCACCAGCATGTATATAACCATGATGCCTAGCCCACAGTAGCCAGATGACCAGGAAGACGAAACAGATGACCAGGAAGACGACGACCCTGGAGAGCCTGAAGAGCTGAAACACCGCACAGTCTACAGACAACCCTGAAGAGCTGTAACACTACATCATCTCCGGACGACCCTGAAGAGTTGTGACACCGCGTCGTCTCCGTGCTGCTCACAATAGACGACGTGACCCTAAAGAGTTGTAACACTGCGTCATCTCCGTGCTGTACCTTGCTGCCCACAATAAACAGCAACACTGAAGACACTGTGTTGTCTCTGTGCTGTAACACTATGTCCCTTGTCCCGGCTCTCACTCCTTCACTCAGGAAACCTGTTCGACTCCCCCCACCCCCTGGGTCGGGACAAGAACCAGCACTGCCCTTTTTGATTTCATGCAAATCCATAAGCTGCGGTGAGTTGTGCCACATATGGCAACAGGGGCTACAGCTCCCCCATGACCTGCCATGCACTTAAAACAGTGTGGTATGGAAACCAGCAGTTAGCGTAATGGCTATGTCGCTGGACTCCCACGTAGTCGACCGCGGTTCGCGTCCTGGACCCGGTGGCTTAAAACTCACGCCGGTCGCGTGTGCGTGCATGCCCAAGATCCTGAGAGGAGAATGGAGAAGGGATTGCGGCGTGACCATCCCCCCTGGGGGGTGATTTCTCGCTTTCTGTCTCTATGTCTCTCTCTCTGTTTGTCTGGCGAGCGCACACGCCCTGTAGTGAAAACCTCTCAAAAAAAAAAACCAAAAAACAGTGTGGTATGACCTACATGAAGTATCCTGACAGATCCTGACATGACCAATATCCCTCTGGGTTACATGTTTGAATGTGGGGAAAATGTGCTGTGAAGTATCTACTGGGGCCAAAATAATGCCCTGCAAAGTCAGGTGTGATGCCAGAGAGCAACAGGTCTTATAGGAGTGATGGCGGGGGGAGGAAGCAGATAATAGATATCATTTTAAAAAATTTTTAAGAGATTTTTGCCATTGGGCATGTGTGCTTACCAGAGATAGACAGTGAGAAATCACCTCCTGGAGGGGGATGGCCACACCACCATCCCTTCTCCTTCATTTCCCTCTTGGGATTTTGAACATGTAAACACATGTGCCCAGTGACCATGGTTAACTACATGGGAGTAGAGATGTAATAATCTAGTGATGTAACAATCACGCCATCTACAGGTCCTTTCTTATTTATTTGTTTTTAAGGCCTTTGCCATGGGGCACATGTGCTTGCTGGAGAGACAGTGAGACAGAAAGCAAGAAATCACCCCCTGGGAGGATGTCCACGCCACAATCCCTTCTCCATTCTCCTGGGATTTTAGGCATGCACGTACATGCTCAGCAATTTTCAAGTCACCAGGTCCAGGACTTGAACTATGGTTGGTGATGTGGGAGTCCAGTGCCTCAACCACTACACCACCTGCCAGTCCCAATAATAAATTTCTTATCTATTGGTCCCCCTGGAACTTGTTCACTGCTAAATGCCCAACCGTTGGCCTCATCCTGAGGACAGTAGCCTAAATTTAGATGCTCTATAAGACAAAACCCAATGGGTTTGGCAGACTTGTGTAAAATCTACTCCAGCTAAGAAAACCCATCTGGTCTTGGACAGACCACTGGGAGATCTACCATCACCCATGCTTCCACACATTCTTCCCGTGTGCACCAAGGACAGGAAACCTGACTGCACTTTAACCTGAGCCTTCTCTCAAGGTGGGATAGCACCAGAAGCTCTGAGAATGAAGTATTCACCTTTCCCAGCTTTCTAAGTTCTTCGCTTCCAGCAGCAGGAGTACACTGCTCATGGAGTGGCACATTTCCACCTTCATGCTTCTTAGTTGCCACAAGCCCTGTGTGCAGCCTTCACCAGGAGGGTTGCCACTGTGAACAGGTCACTGCCATCCCCGCAAAACAGCAATCAGCTCTCCTGGAGAGAAAACTCAAGACCCTCACAGTTCTTGGCAGTTTGTTTCAGGCCTAAGTTCTGAGGACATTCGTTAATGCAGCACAAACAATACACATCCTGAACAAAGTGAGGATTCCAGACCATACAAGGTGGTCATCCAGCTGAGAGGACCTGCATGCATACACTGGTGTGCAGATGGATGCTGGGGTGGGGGTGCCACATCAGGAGGTGCTCATGGTCATCCACATTTAATGGACCCCCTCAACAGTGCTTATTTCCAGGTATGCAAATAGATTAAATTTCAAGGGAGGGCAGTGATGTCTTGGATCACACAAGCCCCAAAACCCTGATTGACTTCAAAACCTACACTGTGAGACCAGCGTTGTTTCACGCCTGGCACAATCTGTGAACAAATGCCAGCTATGGCAGTAACCACTGTGTGTATGCACCAGTCCAACCTGTCTGAGGATGAAGTGGAACTCTTTGTTCCTGGGTGGTTACATCTCTGGGCTACTGTAGTGAGGATGAGGTTTGGGATTTTTTTTTTTTTTTTTTTAAGAGAGATTTTTGCTATAGGGAGTGTGTGCTCACTGGAGAAATAGAGACAGTAAGAAATTATCCCCCACCCCAGAAGGATGGCCACGCAGCAATTCCCCCTCCTCTATTCTCTTGGGATTTTGAGCACACATGTGCATGCATCTGGCCTGAGATTTAAGCCACCAGGTCCAGGACTCTAACTGCAGTCAATTACATGGGACTCCAGTGATGTACACATTATGCCATCTGCTGGTCCCATGAAGATGAGTTTTAAGAAAAGGGCTGGATGAAGAAGTTATAAAGGGGATTCTAGGCAGTCCTCTAGTCATCTACCAAGCAGCAGTGCATTTCCCCATTGCTGAAGCCATCCAGAGCAACTAATCCTCAGGGGAACTTTGGGTAACTCCTTTTAACCAGTTTACTTTAACCTGCACCATCTGGTAGAGCTCACAGAAGACCTTTCTCATCCACAGACACCTAGGGTCTTCCCTCTGTGAACTCAAAACTATACACACTGCACCCTGGTTGTGAGGAACATAGGCTTTATTGAATGTGTAAGGTCAAACGTTCCAGCAAATAAACATACATTTAGTATAAAGTTGGACAGTCTCAAGACAGCAATTCTGAATCTTTCCCAGCATTCTACATTGTCAGTAAAAATGATTCCATTAAAGTAAAGGTATAGATATAACCACATCTGTACTCACATAAACAGGTAAATGGCCTATCCCATGTGGATTTTCTGATGCTGAGTGAGCCTTGAGCTCCGATTAAAAGCTTTGCCACAGTCGTTGCATTTATAGGGCTTCTCTCCAGTGTGGACTCTCTGATGTATGATCAGATGAGAGCGCCACCTGAATATTTTTTCACAGTCACCACACTGATGCAACTTCTTTATAGCAGTGACTTTCTTACGGCTCACAAATGTGGAGCCTTCCAGAGTATTCCCATATTCATAATACCACTGGGCTCTGGTGTGTATTCTCTGATGTTCAATAAGATACGAGCTCCTACTGAAGGCTTTTCCACATTCACTACACTCATAAGGCTTCACTCCTGCATGAATTATTTGGTGTTGGAAAAGGGTTGAGTTTTGACTGAAGGCTTTCCCACACTCATTGCATTTATAGGGTCTCTCTCCAGTGTGCACCCTTTGGTGTATGGTGAGTTGTGTGCTCATACTGAAGGCTTTTCCACACTGAAGGCATTCATAGGGCTTTTCTCCCTTATGGATTCTCTGGTGGTAAATAAGGCTGGAGCTCTGGCTAAAGGCCTTCCCACAGTCATTACACACATATGGTTTCTCTCCAGTGTGGATTCGCTGATGCTGAATAAGGTGTGAACCCTGGACAAAACCTTTCCCACACTCATCACATTTAAACGGTTTTTCTCCAGTGTGAGTTCTCTGATGGCGAATAAGTCGTGAACTACAACCAAAGGCTTTTGTGCACTTGTTGCATTTATAAGGTTTCTCTCCTGTGTGAATTAGCTGATGCTGACTAAGGCGAGAGATCCACCTGAAGGCTTTCCCACACTCATCACACTTGAACGGTTTCTCTACAGTGTGAACTCTTTGATGTGCAACAAGGCTTGGACTGTCTGAGGATCTTGGGATTTGAGCTCTCTCCCCGCTGTGCATCCTCTGATGTTGAGCTAGGGTTGAGCTCTGGCTGAAGGCCTTCCCACATTCCTTGCATGGGTAGGGTCTCTCACCAGTGTGAGTTCTCTGGTGTCTGACCAGCTGAGACTGCTGACTGAAGGCTTTCCCACATTCCCGACAGTTGTAGGGCCTCTCTCCTGTATGGGTTCTCTGATGGTGAATGAGGCTTGAACTCTGACCAAAGGCTTTTCCACATTCCTCACACCTATAGGGCTTCTCTCCAGTATGAATTCTTTGATGCTGAATAAGTTTTGAGCTCAGGCGGAAAGATTTTCCACACTCGATGCATTTAAATGGTTTCTCTCCAGTGTGAATTCTCTGATGCTGATTCAGCTGTGAGCACAGCCTGAAGACTTTCCCACACTGTTCACATGCATATGGCTTCTCTCCCTGGCAGTTACTCAGATGTCTTCCCTGCAAGCAGCCAGGTGGTTTTTCTTGGCATTCTCGACACCTGTTAGGTTTCTTCTGTGTATTAATTACCAAATGCAGAGCAGTCTCTGCTGTGGCTCTGAAAGCTCTGCCACACACTTCGCACCTATGGGATGCCCCTCCTGCTCGTTCTCTCTGACTTTTATCAGACTGACAATCCAGGCCACCGCCCCCCAGCTCTTTTCGTCCCTGAGCAGTATTTTTGGTAAAGGTTTTGTGAGTTACAGTCTCCTTATTCAAATAGTTTTTCTGGAAGAGAGAGCCCGTCGCTCTCAGCTCAGGAGTACCCAGATGATTCTCTGACTGGACCTCAGACTGAAGAGTGTCTCTGAAGCCAGGACTCTGAGGAAAATCCTGTGGTGGGATTCTCACCATTATCCCATGGGATTCTGATTTTAGAACGTCCACGTCCTTACAAGCCTGCTTATTGTCAGTCCTCATCACAAAATCTGAAACATGAATAAAAATGCTCCTTACATCTTGGGCTCAAAAAAGGAGTAAGACTACAGGGGGTGGAAGGCCCCACCCACTTCAAGGACAGGCTGTTCTGAGATTCTCCAGTGGAGATGATATTGCAAGGCTATGCAAAATCTAGTTTCAGGGGATAGCAGATGGCATAGAGGTTAGGGCTTGGACTCCCATGTAGCCTAACGTGGTTTGAGTCCTAAACCCCGCAGCTTGAAATTCATACCGGACACATTTGCATGTGTGCCCCAAATCCCAGGAGAATGGAGAAGGGATTGTGGCACAGCCACCCCTCCAGAGGTTGATTCTCACTGTCTCTTGTCTTTCCAGTGAGCACACACACCCAACATCAAAAAATCTCTCTCTCAAAAAAAGTCCAGTTTCATTCTCTTTTTACTTTGTTCATCCATTCAGCATGAAGAAAGTGCTCGCTTTGCATTGGGCAGAGTACTGAAAGCTGCACACCCTAAGGGGTTAAGGAGGTGAGCAGAAGTCTATCCTAAAGGGATCTGGTGTGAGGGGAAGTCTGTGACCGTGGTGAGACCAAGGGGCAAGCTGGGGGTGGGGGGGACAGTTTGCCAAAGAGGGTATGGCTGAGAGCCAGGACTCCAGCTTCCTAGTGGGCAGGGAAGGACAACAGATGGGCAGGAGAAAGTCTAAAGCCAAAGAGCCTCACAGAGGTTTACAGGGGTGAGCCTGAGAGAGTGATGGGTCTCAGACTGTCTACAGGGGCAGGTTTTTCTGAGCAGGACTCCAGCTTTCTCTGCTGCTTTTAGCAGCTGCCAAGCTACTTCCACCAACTCACACCTGACTACACACTTTGCTGTCCCTCAGCTCTAAGTGGCCCTGATCACTAGCACACCAACCTTTCATTCTTCAGGGTTTCGAGCTTCTGCAGGGGGTCACCTGCCCATCAGGAGGTCTTTCTGACATCTACTATCTGGATTCTCCAAATCAATTTAAGTATCTTTTCTACTCTGCGATTTTAGAGAGCACTTTTGTCATGGTCAAATGCCACAATTATGACCATGGTCATGTACAACCAGCCCAAGTTTATGCAAGTAAATCCACAACAATTACAGAGCTGTAGTCTCGTGGGCCTTACCCACCCCCAAGGTGGTGATTCTCACCATTATCCCATGGGATTCTGATTTTAGAACGTCCACGTCCTTACAAGCCTGCTTATTGTCAGTCCTCATCACAAAATCTGAAACACGAATAAAAATGCTCCTTACATCTTGGGCTCAAAAAAGGAGTAAGACTACAGGGGGTGGAAGGCCCCACCCACTTCAAGGACAGGCTGTTCTGAGATTCTCCAGTGGAGATGATATTGCAAGGCTATGCAAAATCTAGTTTCAGGGGATAGCAGATGGCATAGAGGTTAGGGCTTGGACTCCCATGTAGCCTAACGTGGTTTGAGTCCTAAACCCCGCAGCTTGAAATTCATACCGGACACATTTGCATGTGTGCCCCAAATCCCAGGAGAATGGAGAAGGGATTGTGGCACAGCCACCCCTCCAGAGGTTGATTCTCACTGTCTCTTGTCTTTCCAGTGAGCACACACACCCAACATCAAAAAATCTCTCTCTCAAAAAAAGTCCAGTTTCATTCTCTTTTTACTTTGTTCATCCATTCAGCATGAAGAAAGTGCTCGCTTTGCATTGGGCAGAGTACTGAAAGCTGCACACCCTAAGGGGTTAAGGAGGTGAGCAGAAGTCTATCCTAAAGGGATCTGGTGTGAGGGGAAGTCTGTGACCGTGGTGAGACCAAGGGGCAAGCTGGGGGTGGGGGGGACAGTTTGCCAAAGAGGGTATGGCTGAGAGCCAGGACTCCAGCTTCCTAGTGGGCAGGGAAGGACAACAGATGGGCAGGAGAAAGTCTAAAGCCAAAGAGCCTCACAGAGGTTTACAGGGGTGAGCCTGAGAGAGTGATGGGTCTCAGACTGTCTACAGGGGCAGGTTTTTCTGAGCAGGACTCCAGCTTTCTCTGCTGCTTTTAGCAGCTGCCAAGCTACTTCCACCAACTCACACCTGACTACACACTTTGCTGTCCCTCAGCTCTAAGTGGCCCTGATCACTAGCACACCAACCTTTCATTCTTCAGGGTTTCGAGCTTCTGCAGGGGGTCACCTGCCCATCAGGAGGTCTTTCTGACATCTACTATCTGGATTCTCCAAATCAATTTAAGTATCTTTTCTACTCTGCGATTTTAGAGAGCACTTTTGTCATGGTCAAATGCCACAATTATGACCATGGTCATGTACAACCAGCCCAAGTTTATGCAAGTAAATCCACAACAATTACAGAGCTGTAGTCTCGTGGGCCTTACCCACCCCCAAGGTGGTGGCACGCCATGAGCTTCCAAAAATTTGCAAAGGTCTTTTTGTCAGTTCTGCAGTAAGCAAGGGGCTACCACCTCTCAAGCCTCTTCCGTGTACAAGTAAGTTTCTGGTTCCAGAGGCTGCACTCCTGCCTGGGCCCACTTTACTGTCACCTCTCTGCAGTCACTGTTGTTACTGCTTCCTCACAAGGACCACTTGTCACACACAAACCAATGAACTATCCAACTGCCACCCATAGCTGGGTTCTTTGTAACAGTACCCTCTACAAAGCCTCTTCCTAGCCATGCGAGTATTTTAGGGGGAGGAGTGATGAACATAACCTGTGCCATCTAGTGGTCATGCCTCCTTCCCAAGGAGGGCCAGAAAGAAACCTAGTAGGAGGATTATGTGGACTAGATGGGCCAGCAAGACTCCTATCCAAGGGCCATGGAAGCAGGGGCAGTGGCTGGGGTGCAGCCACCCTCCTCAAAGGGGGCGGTGGCTGGCTTCCAGCCACTCTCTTACACACTACACAGCCCTCCCTCAAGGTGGGAGGGAAAGTATAAGGTGTGTGTGAAAATACCTTGGAGAGACTGGGGTGACCTGTTTATGAAGGATCCCTCCAAGCCCTTCCAAACTGCATGGGGGCACGTACAGAAGGAAGAGCACAACTTTGACTTTCTCCAATACTGTATTCCCTGACTTGCTTCCAGGTGGCCCATAAATGTGGCACTGGGGCCAGACCCTGCTCTGCTGGTAGGGGTGGGGCCAGCAGTGGCAGTGGGCTAGGGGCAGCAAACTGCTAACTGGGTGATGTGTTCAGAAAGCAGGCCAAGCAGATGCCAATGGGAGCTAATGCTTTGAGGTTCAGGTGCCCTGGTTAAGACTGACTGAGCCCAAACAGGCTGAAGTCCTAATTCTAGCACCTCAGAATGTGACCTGACTTACAAATCTGGTCTCTGCACCATGGTTCGAGTCCTGGGCCTGGCGGTTCACTTTCTCACTTTCCCTCTCTCTCACTCTGTCCCTCTCTGGTCAAATTAAAATAAATAGATAAAGTTAAAATAATTAAAAAAAAAAATAGGATCACTAGAGATGTAATTTGTTTTGACGAGGCCATTAGGGTGGTCGCTAATCAAATGGTATCCTTGTATGGAGGTTGCCAAAAGAAAACAGACACAGGAGAGGGTATAGTGTGAAGAGGGAGAAAGAGATTAGAATGTGCAGCTAAAAGTCCAGGACTTACTGGGATTACTGAGAACTGCTAGGTGCTGAAGAGGCAAGCCAGCACCTCCCTAGAGCCTTCACAGGTAAGTTGCCCTGCCCACATCTTGATTTTAGACCTCTGGCCTCCAAGTTATGAGACAGCAATTTCTGTTATCTTTTTTATTATTATTTAAAATAATTATTTAATTTTATTTATTTATTTTTAAATTTGTCCAGAGAGAGACAAAGTGAGAAAGCAAGCTTCCAAGTCCAGGACTTGAACCAAAGCCAGCCACATGGGAGCCCAGTGCTCCAACCTCTATACCACCTGCTGGCCCCCGCAATTTGTCATTTTATACCACCAAGTTGGGCGCTCTGTGATGGCAGCCACAGAAGACTAACAGCTCCTAGTGCCTGATGTGCAAGGCTGGGGTCCCAGAGACCTGAGAAGCTCTGGAGGGAGCTGCTGGGAAGGAAACTACCTCAGGAAACCTATAAATGAGGCTGCTCAGAGAACTTCGCTGGGGTCCATAAACTGTAACCTTACTTTACAAGAGTATCAGTAAAATCAGGAATGGAACAAAATTTGATATGATTTCAAAAACTGTCTTTTTTTTTTTTTTTTTTTTGGGGCATTTGGTTTAATTTCAAAAACTGTTTTTTTTTTTTTTTTTTTTGAGAGGTTTTTGCTATAGCGCATGTACACTCACCAGAAAGACAGAGAGACAGACGAGAAATCACCTCCCAGGGGGGATGGCCAAGCCGCAATCCTTTCTCCATTCTCCTCTCAAGATCTCGGGCACGCATGTACACGTGCCCAGTATGAGTTTAAGCCACTAGGTCCAGGACTCGAACCGCAGTCAACTACATGGGAGTCCAGCAACACAGCCATTACGCCAACTGCTGGTCCTTCAAAAACTGTTTTTGCTGAAATGCACAGGTATCTTGTGTCTTTACGTTTCTGTGGCTTAGTCTCTCCTGCGGCACCTCCATGGCCAGTCTACAATTATAAAGGGCCTGATTCCACCCTACCAATGATGCTCCTGGGCAGCTCTGTATGGCCACTGGGATCCAGCCCAGCCTTCCACTGTTATGAGCTCCATCTGTGGGTCCCTTTCATTCCAGAGCTTCTTTGAGACAGCATCTTAGCCTCACCTGTCTGGGAAGTCCTTGGGTCCTCTGTTCCTTCTGCTCCCTGCAGGTCGAGGACCCATGGTTCTTGTCCTTGCTCCAGCCGCGAGATCAGCTCAGGCTTGAAGACCAGGAATCCTGCTGTGTGGGTGGCAGAGAGACAGCATCAGCATGCCTGTGAGCATGGCAGAGGCCTCAACCTCCCCTGGTGTCCAGGGGCAAGGGGCGAGGGGCAGGACCAAACACAGAGCAGCCCAGACTTACTAGCTCCTGAGGCTAGGTGGCAGGGATACCTGGACTCCAACTATCTCCAGGGTACCCTGTTGCCCAAGAGCCTGCTAAGAACAGACTGTTGTACCCATGACTCAGGGAGCAAGGGAGTGCCCCGCACAGCCAGCACTTAGCTCAGCAGGGCAGGGTGTGCCAAGAAGCAGGGGTGGTTATGAAGCAAGGTAAAATACAACAAAGAGGATTTTAATTTAGTTTTAATTTTTTAGGAGATTCTTGTTTTACAGCATGTGCACTTGCCAGACACAGAGACAGAAAGCGAGAAATCACTCCCCCCTGGCAGGGGGGAATGATCCCGCCACAATCCCTTTTCCTCTCAGGATTTTGGGCACAAACGCACATGCCGCCAGTGTGTTTTAAGCCACCAGCTCCAGGACTCAAACTGCAGTAAACTGCATGGGAGTCCAGTGATGTAACTGTTATGCCACCTGCTGGCCCCAGACAAATGAAGAAGATTTTAAACAAAGGGACTCTAAGACAGCAGGTGGCCTTGCAAGCCTTGATTAATTACCTAAGCAAAGTTCCCCCTTGTAGCTGCCTCTTGGGGCTGCCAGGATGCATGTCATTTGACAGTCCCAATCCACCCCCCCCAACACATTGCCAGATGGTACTGGGACAGTCACCTGATCCAAGGCCCAGCTGAGCTTCCCTCAGGCTGCCCAGGATGGGGGACGAGGCAGGCAGACATCCCTCATGTCTATGCCAGTAAGTGCATGACCTCAGATGCAGGCAGGAAATGAAAAGTGAACTCTCTCCAAGCAAATGTTGAACAGAACATCCCTCGATCAGGCCATGCAGGGAATGAGAACATGCACCCAGCCAACTCGGTATGAAATTAACCACAGCCAAGAGACTGTGTACTCCTTGCAAACTAAATGTGAACTAGTAGTTTATTACGATCGGAATTGGCTGGATGCAGAGGAAGCAATGTGAAGATAAAGTTTTATATTTTTAAATACTTTTACTAGAAACAATGGTATAACACAAACGAGGTAAATATATTTGGAGAGGTTTGTGTTATAGGGCGCATGCGCTGGCCAGGAAGACAGAGAGAGAAAGAGAGACGAAAAGCGAGAAATCAACCCCCAGGGGGGATGGCTACGCCACAATCCCTTCTCTTTTCTCCTCTCGGGATCTTGGGCACGCACGCACACGTGCCCAGCGTGAGTTTAAGCCACCGGGTCCGGGATGCGAACCACGGTCAACTACGTGGGAGTCCAGCAACATAGCCATTATGCTAACTGCTGGTCCCCAAATGAGGTGAATATTAATAAGACAAAACGTGATCTTGGAGTAGGTAAGAATTTTTTTTTTCTGGAGAGGTTTTTGCTATAGGGTGTGTGCGTTTGCCAGAAAGACAGAAACAGGGAACCAGCAGTTAGTGTAAGGGCTATGTCACTGGACTCCCACGTAGTCAACCACGGTTAGCGTCCCGGACCCGGTGGCTTAAAACTCACACCAGGAGCGTGTGTGTGCGTGCCCAAGATCCCGAGAGGAGAATGGAGGAGAAGGCTTTCTCACTTTCCTTCTTAAAAAAAAAAAAAAAAAAGAAAGACAGAAACAGAAAGACAGAAAGCGAGAAATCACACCGGGGGGATGGCCACGCCGCAATTCCTTCTCCTCCATTCTCCTCTTGGGATCTTGGGCATGCGCACACATGTGCCCGAGTTTAAGCCACCAGGTCTAGGACTCAAACCAAGGTCAACTACATGGGAGTCCAGCGACATAGACATTACGCCAACTGCTGGTCCTTCTTAACTTACTAATTTTTATTGCCAGGCCTGAATGTGCTCACCAGGGAGAAACGGGGGTCGGGGGTGGGGCAAGTAAGGCACCCTCTACAGGGCAGTCACACCACAGAGAGGGGGAAGCACCCTCTACAGGGCAGTCACACCACAACCCTTTCTCTTCCATCTCCCAATCATGTTGGGATACGGGCACACACATGCTGTGTGTTTTTCATGCTGGTTGGTCATGAGGGGCCTGACTCCCTTTATCATCATGGCCAGGGGCTAGCCCTATAAAACTTAATTATAGAATTAAAAATAATAATAATTAATTTAATTTTATTTTATAATTATCACTATTCTTCTATTTGCTACAGGGCACATGTGCTCACCAAAGAGCAAAAGAGAGAGAAAGATAGGGAAAGTGATAAGGTAAGCTGCAAGATTCAGGACTTGAACCATGGTTGGCCATGTCATATTCCAGTGTCCCAATCACCACGCCACCTGCTGGCCCCAGCCCTGAAGAACTTTTGAATACTTCAAGGGCACCTGGACCAGCAGATGGCATAGCGGTTACATCACTGGACTCACACATGGCCAACTGTGGTTCAAGTCTTGGACCTAGTTGCTTGAAACTCATGCCAGGTGCATGTGTGTGCATATCCAAGATCCCAGGAAGAAAATAAAGAAGGGACTGTGGCATAGCCATCTCCCCAGTGGGTGATCTCTCACTGTTTCTGTCTCGCTCTGGCAAGCACATGCACCCTAAGGCAAAAATCTCTACAAAAAATACATATATACATACAAATCCCCAACCCCCCCCCAAAAAAAAAAACTTTAAAGGCAAAGTCCATAAGGCAAATCCTGAAGAATTACATTTAAATCTGACCTAATAGAGTGAGCACTTGGAGAAAAAGGGAAAGATATTTTACCAACCCCCATGTGGAATTATATTTGATGTATTCTTTTTTAAAATGTTTTTAACAATTATTTTATTTAACTTCATTTTTATTTATTTACTTATTTAAATTTGACCAGACAGGAGAGAGAGAAAGTGAGAAAGCAAGCTGCCAGGTCCGGGACTCGAACTGCAGTCGGCCATGTGGGAGTCCAGCACCCTTAACCACCATGCCACCTGCCAGCCCCACATTTGATATATTCTAAGACAGGGTTTCTATCCCTTTTAAAAGTTTTTGTTATAGGGTGCATGAGCTTGCTGGAAAAGACAGAGAAGGAGAAGGAAAGTGAGAACTCATCCCCAAGAGGAAGGAGAAAGGAAGGGGGATGGCCATGCCACAATGCCTTCTCATCCATTCTCCAAGATTTTGGGTATGTACACATATATGTCAGGTGTGATTTTCAAGCTGCTGGGTCTGGGACTCAAACCATACTTGACCATGTGGGAATCCAGTGTCTTAACTGCCACGCCACCCGCTGACCCCATCTATTCACTTTGTAAAGAGAGGATCCTGCTCTCTTTACTGCCGGTATTACAGATGCATGTCACCATGCCTGCCCTTAAGATTGGACCAGGTACTGGACCTGGGCCCCTATGTGGTCCCAGACTGCAGAGCAGCATGCACCACTGCAGCTGGGCCTGGGAAGAGTTCTTATAAACTGCCTCCCATCTAACCTGGGACACATCTGAAGTTAGTGATCACCACCATAAAGCAGCCATGATCTGCCATCTCTGCCTGTGCACATGTGAACTGAGACTCAAGCGATCACTGCTGTGCACACATGATCCCAACCACACACACGTGTGCATGAAAATTTGCTCACACACCATCACTGCTATGCACACATGACCCCGACCACATACACCATTTATGCACATGAGAATTAGCTCTCACACGCCATCACTGCTGTGCACATGTGATCCCGACCACACACACCATGTGTGCACAGAACTTGCTCACACACCATCACTGCTGTGCACATGTGATCCCGACCACACACCATGTGTACACAGAACTCGCACACACGCCATCACTGCTGTGCACATGGGCTCAGGTCGCTGCAGCAGTGTCACAGCAGCACTGCTCGCATGGCGAGCTGCACTGCTTTCCAGTCTTCTGAAGGTCGCCCTGTACCTTGGCACTGAAGCAGGAAGTCCCTGCAGACAGAAGCCCTGGGGAAGGACAGCAGGCGCAGATGCTGCTATTAAGTGACCGCCAGCCCGCCATGGCCGAGTCTGCACACAGAGCCTGTGAGAGGGTGGGCCTTGCAGATGGAGCTGGTAGCCTGTCACTGACAACCACACAGGAGAATGGCTGTTGTAGTGTGACTGCAGGACACCTAAACCAACCACAGGTCACCATCTTGTGGGAAGTAGACACGAATGATGGGAAACGATTTGCCAGAGGGTGTGAAGGGACCCTAGGAACACCCTGGCTGACTGACTCCACTTCTGTCTATCCCAGACACATGGCAACCACACGTAAGTGAACCTGACACAGTCCCTTCAACAGCACTGATGTCACAGGAGCCAGTTGGAGGCACAGTGGCAACACAACTAGACACACAAGAGAGGCCTGAGATCCACATCCTGGGCCCTCCCTGAACACACCGAGTTCACGTACATACGTGTGCTTGAACCCTGGGCCTGGGCAAGAGTGAGACTGCAGCAGGAAGACCATGTGGAGGGGATCAGAGGGTGGTGTGGTGATTGGGGCACTGGACAAACACATGGTTGACTGAAGTTTAAGTCCTGGACCTGGTGGCTTGCTTTACTTCCCTCTCTCTCTCCTCTGGTAAAATTAAAATAAATAAGAATAAATAAAATAAAATTAAAAATTCTTAAAAAAAAATAAATAAAGACCATGTGGAGGTGCCTCTCATGGATAAAAAATCAACTCTGGGGGACCAGTGTAATGGCTATTTCACTGGACTCCCACGTAGTCGACCACAGTTCAAGTCACAGACCCAGTGGCTTAAACTCATGCCAGGCACGTGTACCTGTGTGCCCAAGATCCTGAGAGGAGAATGGAGAAGGAATTGTGGTGTGGCCATCTCCCAGGGGGTTGATTTCTCACTTTCTATCTCTCTGTCTCTGTCTTTCTGGTGAGCGCACGCACCCTATAGCAAGATATATATATAATATATATATATATGTACACACATACACACTTTGGGTGGGGAGGGCTGGCAAGTGGCTTGGTGGTTAATGGTGCTGGATTCTCACATGGCCATCGTGGTTCAAGTCCTGGACCTGGTGGCTTGCTTTCCCTTTCTCTGTCTTTCTGGTCAAATTAAAAATTAATAACAACAAATGGAAATAAATAAATAATTCTTTAAAAAATAAATAAATAAACGTAGGGGCCAGCAGGTGGCACAATGGTTAAGGCACTGGACACCCACATGGTCTACTGTGGTTCGAGTCCCAGACCTGGGCACATGTGCGTGTGTGCCAAGAATCTCAGGAGGAGAGAGGATTGGGGGTTGGCCATCCTCCCTGGGCTGTCTCTCTCCAGTGAACTTACATGCCCTATGGCAAAAACCTTAAAAAAAAAATAAGAAATAAAAAAATTTTTTTGATAAACTTTTTTTAAAAAAGTATAAATTTAAAGCCAGTTGTGGCATGAAGGATAAGGCAGTTGGATCCCACATGGTCAGCTGAGCAGCTCAAGTCCCAGACTAGCAGCTGACAAGCACACCAAGAACATGGGCATGTGTCCCTAAAATCACAAGAGAATGATACAGGGTTTGCAGGGTGGCCATCCCCTCCTGGGGGTGAGTTCCCACTTTCTCTCCTTCTCTCTCTGGTGAGTGCATGCACCCTATAGATGCACCCTATAGCAAACTAAACAAAAAGTACTATTTTAAGCAATAGGGAAAACCACGTACCTCTCGTAGGACAAGGCTGTGCTCTACAGTACACTATCTTAGGGCCAATCACAGATAAGAGATAACACACACTTTCCAATCAGCAAGGCACAGCCACTCCAGTAGAAGCAGGCAAAGGCCCTGAGTACTTTACTGAAGAACCTAGCAAGGTAACAAGTGTCAAAAAACACTTGAGCTTCACAGAAGTTGGAGAAATGCAGGAAAACCACAACAAGCTCTCGTTGTACATGGACCTGACTGGCAAAACATGGCAGAGTGGGACCCTGTCAGTCTGGTGGGACAGAAGGCTGCAGGCCTGGCCAAGTGCCTGCTG